TCTTAGGAACCACGACGACTGGTACCGCCCAGGGGCTGTCTGAGGGCTCGATGAAGTCTGCCCGCTGCATCTCCAACACAGCCTTGTCTGCCGCCTCCTGGCGTGCCAGCGGATACGGTGGGGACACATCTTGATGGGCCGAGCATCACCTGTGTCGATCTCATGCTGCACCAGATGAGTCTGACCCACCTCTTCCTCACTCAGTGCAAAGCTGTCTCTGAATTCAAAGAGCAACTATCACAACCGTTCCTGCTGCTCGGGGTCAAGACCAACACAGTTCCTCTCCCATATCTCCCTCACTGCAGACAGCGTCCTCTCCTCTCCCATCTGGGGTAGATGGGGGGGGCGTGGCCCGGGCTCACGGAGGGATGTGTCGTGGAGGTAGCTGGGGGAATGTAACACACAGCCGTAGGTGACAGAGGGGCTGGGGAAAAGTCACACACAGATGTGGGGGAGGGGGGGCAGCCATGAGTCTCTGCTGCTTTAACTGTTGGAGTAAGGGGGTTGTTGGGTTGTGTGAATGTGACATTAGGGGGGGCCATGGTGACTGCCGGCCCTCCCTGGAAGCTCAGTGTGCCCCCATTTAGGTCTAACTGGCAGCCTGTGCTCCTAAGAAAATCCAACCCCAGGATACAAGGGTCCTGCACAGCCGCCACACACACACAGGATGACACACAGTCCTGCCCCCTACTGTCAGCCTCCACCCACACAGGATGACGCACAGTCCTGCCCCCTACTGTCAGTCATTATTCCCTTCCCTTTCATGGGTGCCAGCTCAGCTGTGACTGTGCGGAGCTGCACAGTTGTGGGCTCAAACTGAGTCCAACCTGGCACAATATCTGGCCTCACCAGGGTTACTGTGGACCCAGTGTCCACCAGGGCAGAGCAGGGCACCCCCTCCACAGTGACAGGGACATGACAAAAGTCCCCAACACAGGTACGACCCACCACAACAACAGGCTCCTTCCGCTTGCACTCATCTGCTTCTGGGGGGCGTGGAGATTTAGTATGAGGGAGAAGAGGATACAGGAAATTAGTTTAAAGAGTATATTGAGTAGAGCGTCATTAGATATAGTCTCAAATTGTGTAATATTTTTTAAGAGAAACGGGGTTGGCAGGTAGGATTTAGTTTATCCCTGTCTCTGGCCCACACTCCAGTACGGTAGGTGGCGGTAATGCACCGTAACATTGGATGCCAACCACCGATAAACCCCACTGAAGAAGATGTCCCTCCCAGGAGCTGTCTGTTTCTATGGCAACTTCAACAGCAACGACTGTAGCGTGTGAAGCTAGCTAGCTATGAAAACCTAACGTAAGTTAGCTAACGCATAATGGTTTAAACGGTTTTTAGAATATATTTTAAGTAAGCACACGAGCTAAATGTTAGGAAAGGCAATTCTGCATATAACATACCGGTAGAAGTTATGTATTCATATATCTCGTGGGATGAGGGTAAGTTATCTAGCTAACGAACGTTAGCAACGCGTCGCTAGCTAGGCACGTCCGTTTACAAACCCTGACTAGCCAGCTGTTCGACTTTGATAGCTAGCTAGTTACCAAAATTATACGATGTGTGAAATCGCTTAAAATACGTTACTAGATTGGGTTCCTTTCTTTGCTAGCTAGATAACGTTAACACGATTGTATGCCAGCCATGTCCAATCCTGATTTAACTAACGCGTTAGCTAGCTAAGTTAGCTACTGTATAGCTAGTTAGATACAGTACGTTAGCTTGGTACTGTTAACGTTGCCTCTTTTCTGCTGGTTTCATCCACCAAACAGCCGACACAAATGAGAGTCCCTTAAACGCTCCAGGAGCAGGAAGGAGAAAAATAGTGGAGATGATGGTATGTATGTTTTACAGACTACTCTCGTTTTAGCTAGTTACCATATTATGGAACGGTGTTTGTTTTACGTGATAAAAATACATTTACGCATGAAATACAAGACAAGTCAAATAAGTTTGTTGACCAATCAGGCCCTGAATATGACTGCACATCACATACTAATTTAACACGTTCATAAAATGTTTACATAGTTATTAAACATTGATTACACTATCGCTAGTATTTCATATGTCATAGTGATTCACCTATATGTAATATGATGCTGGTAAAGTTCTCTCCTGCACCTGCTGCATGAGGCAGACACACTTACCCAAGCTCTGGGACAGTGCTGGTCAGAAAAAAGCTAGCTAGCTGTTGGATGCAAACAATTTTATCCCTCAAAAACATAGCAAAACGACAATCTGTTTCAGTAACTATAGCTAGCTAACTATCTAGCTAGGTTTCATCATCTAAAATACCCCTAATTTATAAGACAGTTTTCGTATTTGGTTGATGACCCGGTGATGGTCGGACCCGGTCCGGTCATGCCACACTAGCCATGCTTATAACGTTAGCTTGGGGCAACAGGGCTGGGTAACAGTAGCTGGCTAGCTTGTTTAGTTCGTTATCTAGCTAGCTAGTTATTTTCATGAACTGAAGGTCGATTTCAATAGGAGAACAACAAGTGGCTGCCTAGCTAGTACTTAGTCACATGGATTCCCAAATCATTGCTAAGAATATTGAAAATGATTGCAGTTACTGGTCATTGTTTTCAGGCTGGTTGCATTGGTGCTAACTAGGTACCAAGCTAAAGCTAGCTAGCTACCCCAAAAGTTGCTAAAAACATCTATATCAAAGATATTTGTGAGTTACTGTCATACTGCAAACCAAAGTCAACGTAGTAGGGAGACAGCCTACCTCCAGTTTACAACTTGCATCAATGTTGACAAAATGCTTGATTATATTTCTGTATTTTGACTAGGACACAGATAGAACACTACAAATATTTGGCTAGGCTGAATCAGGTGCAACTGCTTGTGATACGGCAGACAGCAGTAGCAGGATCAGGATCACCATCCTTTCTCCCCTGCCTCTGTTATGGTTGCATGTAGGGGAGAATGTTGGACTACCGAGCTAACATTTTTGATCCTGATCTTATTTCAAATGCTCACACAGACGTTTTTCAATTCGGTTGAACAAGATGGGTTGGTTGTTCAGCAACAAAAACGATGTGCATGCAACCATGGAGCAAAACAGATGAGGTTGGCTTAGATTGTTGACAACATGTAAGCTATATTTAGTCACCAATGTTTATTGAAAACATAAATAAATGTGCACAATGACCATTTGTTGTCTTTTACATTGTTAAAGTTGTTGGTTAGCTAGCTAGCGAATTTTAGCCATATTAGCACTAACATTATATCAGTGAAAAACCCTCAAAACAAGACATGGTATCAATAACAAGCTGAAATGAGCCACACGATTCCCCACGCAGTGTTGCAAACTCCTCAGTAAGGAAAGTAGTTATTGGCTGTCCTAAAAGTCGCTAGAAGTTGCTAAATGACGTCATCACCTAATTTGCATAATTGGCCATGTGCATGTAATTGTGATGGATGCTGTAGGAGAGAGGAATAACGTCGTGGGAGAGACAAAAAGTGATTAAAAAACACCCTACAGGGCGGGATCAGCCAGCGGCGGCTTCCTGCATGCGCGATTCATTTGCAGTCTGGACGTGGAGGGGTGAACATCTCCTGCTCTGACTGCAGCTGGGAGGGACTGCTGCGCAAGGACTGGGCCGCCTGTGAGTGCTTTGGGACGGGGGTAACAAAGCACCCGCTGCTCATTGAGAAGAGTAAGAACGATACGTGCTTTCACGTCAGAGTCTCTAAAAGTCTCCAATAACACCAGAAAAAGTCGATAGATTTGTTGCTAGTCGCTTTTTTGAAAATGTGTCGCTAGAGGGGTCTGAAAACTCGCTAAATATAGCAGAGTGGCGTGGTTTAAGGCACTGCATCTCAGTGCTTGAGGCGTCACTACAGACCTCTCGGTTTGATTCCAGGCTGTATCACAACCGGCCGTGATTGGGAGTCCCATAGGGCGGCGCACAATTGGCTCAACGTCGTCCGGGTTTGGCCGTTGTAGGCCGTCATTGTAAATAAGAATTTGTTCTTAACTGACTTGCCTAGTTAAATAAAGGTAAAATAAAAATAAAAAATAAGTTGGCAACACTGTCCCCACGTGGCAGTTTCTTGTCATTCTTGCTAGCAATCTGGCCATCCAGAATCACAACAACAGGCTGACTTCTGCCCAATGCGCGCACATCATTTTCGTGACGTTGTCAGCCATCCCATCTATTACCAACGCAGCATTATAAACACATTGTGGCCGGTGTGTGTGCTTGTTTGCAGACCTAATATATATTTTTTTACATTATTAGCTAGGCATAGCTATCTAGCTAACTTTACACCGAACTAATGTAGCATGGTATTCATAGTAGTGTAATCTTGAACATGCCATCTCCTGCACACAGTAAACTTGTTTCTATTCTTCCTCAGGTGTTGCCTGTGTGGGGCCTCACACTCCCTCTTCCCGCTGTACTGATGATTGTTGTTGGTCTTTACATTATTTTCCTTGCAATGGCGTTATGGTTCCACCAATGCCTCAAGGTACAGCATTTACTTCCCTATCCCGATATAATTTTTAATTAATTAATTTTTAGTCATTTAGCAGACGCTCTTATCCAGAGCGACTTACAGTTAGTGCATACATAATTTTTTTATTTTTCATACTGGCCCCCCTTGGGAATTGAACCCACAACCATGGCGTTGCAACCACCATGCCCTACCAACTGAGCTACATCCCTGATATGCTGTTGTCCAGTTGAGAGACAGTATGCTGTTGTGCAGATACCTTGCAAATGTTGCTAAAAAAAAGAGTGCAGTTCAACGAAGCCAGGAAGATGAACCTTGCTGAATCAAATATATTTTTTAAATACTTCAAGTGAGAGGCACTGATGCTGCAGATAGGTTTGGCTGACGTTGCCTTTTTTAATGTAGGCCCCAAATTGTACTTGACCATAGCAAACTATCTCCACCATAAGCTCCAGCAGCAAATAGCGATATGGTTTGACTGGTGAGAGTGATGTTAATTCATTCATGGCCTCTTGCCCTACAGGAACAGTGTTGTCCTGAGTGTGGTGACTGCTGTCCAAATATCGCCCCATTCGATTACTGTTTAGCATGTGCAGAGTCGTGCAACTGTCGCCTGCCATCACTGCGCTCGTGCCTTGACCAGACCTGCCCCTCAACCTGCCCCTCTCTTCCTAATGTGAGTAAAACCCCTGAGTGTGCGACCAATCAGGGTTTGAATCACTTGTTCTTACCCCCTGCTTTGTTTCCCCAAAGTGTAACATGTGGGACCGTGCTTGCACCTGCCAACCCCCAGAATCTGAGTCCTTCAACTGCCTCTGCTTCGAGATCAAGTTCAGATAGAGGGAGAAACGGAGGAGCGGTAGGATTGAATGATGAATCCTAACTCAAGACGCACAGCATGTTTACATATTCACACCTTGATGTTAATGGACAATTTGTGCAAAATTAAGGAGTTATCCGTTCATCCCTAGAGAAATGGAAAGGGAAGACAGGGTGGGTTACTGTATGTATGTACCAATATGAAAATACAATCTGAATCCTTTTAACACACAGCCTTAAAGTCAAAGGCTAGTTTATGGATAGTTGTGCCATATGTGTCCAAGAGAGAACAACATTATTAGAGTGCTATTACAATATAGGGCATCTACTTAGGTACAATTCTGTGCCTCTGCAGCAATCAAACACACTGAGTGTACAAAACATTAAGCACACCTGCCTAATATCGAGTTGCACCCCGAGTTGTTCCTTAATTAATTCATCAGTTATTTTTATCACATTTACACTCAAGTTTTTACACAATACATATGTATATACTGTAGCTTTGACGCTGTGGACTTGTACTTTTTAAGCTATTGACCAATATAAATTATAGATGACTATTTTTAAACTTCTTATCAATGGCCTGTATATCTCATTGTTGGAGATTTGACAAATGTGTGCTTTAGAAAAGAAAATCCACGGAAAGGAATAAACCTTTTTTTCCTGATGAAATATATTGTGCGGTTCTTCTTTTTCTCAAAATATGCGCAATATTGTGACATTTCCTCAGTATGGTCCTCTCCCAGCCTCAAGCAACATAAGACTGTCAGTCCCATCATTATTTCTCTAATAGCAACTGTCACATGAGCCCTGTCACTTGACAATGACCACTGTCCCAAATCAATGTTCAATACATTCTGAAGTACAGGAAAGAAAATGTGTTGCAGTCAGCTGACTTGCCTGAAAACCTACACACTAGAGTGTATCTTTTGGCTCAGTTACAGCAGGAAGTTCACTTCAGAAGAATTACTACCATAAGTGGGACTGGTGGTAAACCTATGTTGCTTGTAAGTCAAGGGACATAAAATTGCTTTGGTTTGTGGAGTAAGGTAACCAAATGCCATTGACTGGGTTGTTCCAGGTGACATCCTGTCATTAGTGTGGCAGGTGGAGGATAGTACTGGGGAACAGATAGTGAATTCTTCCTCCTTCAGCAGTAGAGCTGGGTTTACCCATCCTCTAAGGTCACCAGGTTTAAGTTTAGTTCACCGAAGGGTGCAGTGAGTGGATTGAATCACTTCTTTCTAAGGCATTTTATTGTCATTCCCATTGCATATCTTTTCTGTGTGGTCTAAGTGATGTGAGTTTCTAACACACCATCTCTCTCTCTGTTTCTCTCGGACTCTGTTTCTGTAACCTTTCCCACCTTTTCTCCGCCACCTCTCATGCATTCCCTTTGTCCTGTGTTTGTGAAGGTTGGTATGCCCTTCTCTTGTTGCTGTTTATGCTAAGATTAGCTAGGCTGGCCAAATGTCAAAGGTCATGAACAGAGCATAAATACTAGCCATGTGGGCCTACGACGCTCTCAGGATCGTCTGCTTTCCCTCTCTCACCACAATCGTCTTATACCTCCACCTCAGAAAAGGCAGGAGGCATTGACCATAACCCTTCTCTGTGTATTCTGTGTCAGTCTGCAGACTGCACAGTATGTACAGAATGTGAATGATATTCTGAATGTTATCATGTTAGTCACAATACCGTTGTTGGGCCTGATGATAGGGTTCTAGTTGTATTGTAGCCTCATCCCAGGCATTCTACTCTTCAATAGCCAATCATGTAATCTTTTGGTGTATAGTTCGCTACAGCACATGCAGTGGGACAGGGTTAGAAGCTGTATTACTGAGGCTATGCCATCTTTTGAGCTCATATGTAGGCCATGTTTAATGCTGCCATGTTTATCAATAACATTGATTCATATCTGTGTTGAAGAGTTGAGAGCCTGCCAACATTAACCAAATGACAACATGATCCAACACTATCAAATGTATTTTGGACAGTGCATGCAATCCATGCAAGCTAGGACATGTTGGTTATCCGGATGTTGTTTTCCAATATTTAGCAACACTTTGCATTTCATTGTGCCAAAACAAACATGTACCGGTAGTTACTATTAACTAAGTATGTTATAAGTACTTTGGTAGCATTAATTAACTCACTTTTAACTGTTACATGTAATTAAGATATTTCTCCCAAAGGGGTTAAACTCCCATGTTACTATGCAGTATTTGGGGCAACTTCATTTAATAGATATGAGATTAAGTTCATGCTGTTACTGAGTCAACCTGATGTGGAAAAGGAAAACTTTCATCTCCCACTTGGAATTAAATGTACTGCTGTTTAGTCAGGCTTATGGTGTCCTTATCCTATAGACCCAGATGTTTGACAAACCACCAGACCTTCCATTGGAACAGTAGAATGTACTAGTAGAACACAGAATGTACACTATGAGGAACAACGATACTTCAAGGATTCCCATGATGCTACTACTAAATCTGCAATATTCTGGCCTCTGGTGTTTGACACTGTGTCCAAAGGATGCGAGAAAAGGGGTGCCATTTAAACTGGATGCAGTGACCATTGTAGACAGACATGCAGTGAATCCAACTCATCCTGAAGAGGTGAAGGTTAGCAATGAATAACAGTACTACCCACACAGACTGTTATCATTCTGCAGTGCCAGTGAGTGACACAGATACTTGATATTGAGTATTTTACCCCCCACCCCCCCCCCCCCACACACACACACACACAAATACACACACAGGATCAACACACACTCCACCTTAAGGCCTCTGTGGAAACGGGAAACACTATTTTCACAGCACTTCAATTCCGAAGTGACGTTTTCGTATCAGGTTAGGAGAATTAACGTAGAAGGTTAGGAGACTGAGGTTAAGGTAAGGAAAGAGGTTAGGGTTAGCGAAAATGCTCTCCTAACCTGCTACGAAAATAACTTTGAATCAAAATGCCTTGAAAAGAGTGTGTCCCCTGTGGAAACAGCATCTGTCAGTCTGTGGTCCCCTGGGCAGCACAGCGAGCCAGGGTGTATTATGTAACATGATGGTCTGACTGCGCAAGAGGAAGGTCACATCACACACAGACTTAATTCAATACTACCAATGCAGTGTTTCTGAAATGTTTAGGAAACGTTTTTACAATGTGTGATGATGGTGCTAAGTCGTTGCACCAATGGAGGCTAAGGCTGAACATCAACATGGCCAAACCAAACCGGCACATCATGTTCCACACCAGTAACATGGAGAGAGGGATGGGTGACATGGAGGGAGGTATGGATGAAGGAAACGAAGGAGAGCAGAGTTAGAAACGACATTTGAAAGAGGGAGACAATTAAGTAATGTATGGTGATGATAATGATGCACATTGAGCATGACAATGCTATTTTGAGCATTCAGAGATTGCTTAGAGCTGGCTACAGGAAGTCTATAATAGGACATATTTTGAATAGCTTTGCTGCCAGTAGTCTTTTGTACATCTTGTCATCATGATATTGTATTTATCGTATATAGTAGGTCTAGTAATTACATTTAATTGATTATTATGACCAAGGTTTATTCTTATGCCATGTAATCTATCATCATCATGAACAGTCTCACGACAAATCTGCAGCAACACGTTGATAACATCCCTGAGGTTTCAATTGAAAAGGCTTATTATACATAGTAGGCCTATATTGAGGATAATGCCCCTTCAATGGTGCAGTGCTGCACCACTGCAATTTAGTGCCCTACTGCTGTGGCTGTATATTACGAGCACGTATAGAGCATGCATTATTCACGTGAAATCTGTCACGTACGTTATCACAAATTTTTCCACCCCGTTATTCCCAAAACACGCCTTTTTTCTCTTCCGTCACTCAAAAGAACGGCCCTTGGATGCAAGTGAGCCAACCACTGTCACATGGAAAAAAAGCGTTTTCTCCAGACAATGGATGGAATGATATGTCAATCTTTCATAGTGCGTTTTGATTGGACAGTCTCCGTACGTGGCCTGGGGTAAGGCCCTCTTTTTCGTCACTGGCCTTCGCGTCACTTGACATTTAACAATACTAGACATCCTTCTTCATTGCCTGATTTTGCAACAGAACGCATCGCTTCCTCCTCAAACCCGTACAGCTTTTGCTCTATTATCTATTGCGCAGATAAACTGGTAAGTTTTTTTCTATCAACTAATCCTTTTTTTATGTAAGATGATGTCGTTTTCAGCAGACATTACTGTATCATTGTATTTATAAGCCTCAAGCTGAATAGGTTATATATATATATATATATATATATATATATATATATATATATATATATATATATATATATATATATATATATGAAAATGTATGCACTCACTAACTGTAAGTCGCTCTGGATAAGAGCGTCTGCTAAATGACTAAAATGTAAATGTAATATATATATATATATATATATATATATGATGTCGTATTTTATTTTATGACTATAGTTGTTGAAGTATGACTCTTACGTGTGACTCTTCCTGTCCGGCACCTCCCAATGTATTACAAGGTCATACGGATGCAATGGCAAGGACAGACGCGGAAGTAACGCTAGCCAGGACTTCACATAGCATTTAATAACGCGTATATTATGTAAACTGTTCATAGCGCGCAAATAAATCCAGAAATATCACACAAGCGCTCCCCAAAAGACGATCAGGGCATCGTGTACACGCCTACATCAACGGATGCCAAAAGCGAATCCCTCACGTACGCACGGCATGTGAAAACTCCATAGAGCGCAACGCACCGGCTATAAGGGAAGATTTGGATGTATAATGAGATTTCAAACGAGTGTCATTTCGTTTTTCACGGTTGAAATGCTCACCAGAATATTTTAGATGCTTTTGTTTGAGAAATCAGACGGTCTCTTCCGATGGCGCACATAGGCAGACCAAGGTTGGGAGACTCATCATGATAACTAGCCTGCGCAGCTGCTAGTGGGTTATATCTACTCTATCGTCTGGGCTTGATGTACACAGACGGTAGGTAATACACTCGTGTCCCCGGGCGACAGGTTCGTAGTACGCATATTTCCCCCATTTTTTTCGCCCTTCTCGCCATTAAAAGGACATTGAAGCCTTTTGCAGCCTGAATGGAGAATGTTTTATGTACGAACCGGTCGCGGGGGGAGTGCATTACCGGCTACGCACATCAAGCTCAGACGATAGTGGAGATCCATAAAGCGCACTAGCGGCTACATAATAACCGCTTGTAAAGGACACTTAGCTAGCGAAGGCTGTCAAGAATGTCAATATGGTTATGATTACCAATGTTAATGTATTTATTTAACATAATACACATAGGTAATTTAGTAGCATAGGCCCAGGCCCAGGCCTATACCTTATGACGCTGCTATGACATTTGATTGCGTGGTGATAAACCATCCATGCTACAAACACTGAATCTTTCAACAGAATGATTTATAACAATGATTTCTCTCTCTCCATGTTTCCCTCAATCATCCCCCTCTCTCCCTCCCCCCTCCCCCTTCTCCCTCACTCCCCTCCCCTCTCTCCCTCACTCCCACCTCCCCTCTCGATCTCGCTCTCTCTCTCAGAGACACAATGCCTCACTCATTCCCATTCCTCTCTACGGAGCAGAAGAAGGAGCTCAGTGATATTGCTCAGAAGATCGTCGCTCCCGGCAAGGGAATCCTTGCTGCTGATGAGTCCACAGGTAGGGGACTGCCGATGAGTCCACACACACGGATCAGATCACCCACTAAACACACTCATACATGGCATATCAAAGATGGTGTACGGTGGCCTATAATGGGCTATAACTGGCACTGCCAGACTGGCAGAGCGAGAGAGAGAGACAGAGAGATCGCACTATTACATACACAACCTTCCCTACATAACAAGGTCTACATGTAAAAACAGTGTATTATCAGAAAGAGAAGGGTATAAGAATGTATTAAACACAATTTGAACGCTTACCATCACTTTTCACAATGTCTGCAAGCAAAACCACATCTTCAGCTGTAACCTACCGCAGAGAAAGTCTTGCCCAAATGGCACTGTAGGCTACTTACATAACACATAGAAAAAATGTCACAATCCCTGAAAGGGAGAATGGCAACATCCACTCTCTGCTGTTACCATGGTGATGTTCCTCCATCCTTCCGAGAGCCTCGGAAATACAACACTTGGCAAACTGTCCTGCATGCTGGCACTAAACCTCCCATTCAAATTACAATACAGATGTCTTGGAGCATTTGGTGCCAACAAGGCCAGTATTCCAAATTTAGTATTTATTAAGTGGTGATTTTGTGGGGTTTGTCTGTGCATGGTATTGCACTTCAAACCAGAATCTTCATGTCCCAAGGCCAGCCCGCTAACCAAAGTAGAGATTTGGAATTGTCATAACACTAGTATATACTGTATATTTAGGAATGTATTAAAGTGGAACTGATAGTATTTTAGCAACATGAAATCTTATTCAAATCTGTTCTTATACACCGCAGGAAGAATATGCCACTTATTTATTTTTACATTTTCTGACAAGCGAGCACTTAGATATGGTCATTAGAATGTTTGGGAATTACGTATGGTAAGGCTTTTTGAAAATTGTATAGCAATATAGAGTGGGAAAACGGCCGTGCTTTTGGACAATTAATAGACACTGCAGTAAATAAAACCTGATAAAAACATCTGTCTCGTCCCAGCACCAGAGTCTACACAGACCGGTGTGCCATAGCCAATCAGAGCTACGGTAGGTCTTTATGCAAACAAGCCATTTGTCACACAGGCCTGCCATCATTCACTTTGAACTGGACTGTGTGTTTACAGGCAGTAGCAACAGCGCGACTTTAGATCATTAGAACGCATTCGGCAAAAGCCACAAAATACACCTGAATGGATTTCTGCAAATACACTGTATTCGGAAAGTATTCAGACCCCTTCACTTTTTCTACATTTTGTTACGTTACAGCCTTATTCTAAAATGGATTAAATAAAAAAAAATATTCATCAATCTACACACATAATGACAAAGCAAAAACTGGTTTGTAGAAATTTTAACAAATGTATTAAAAATAAAAAACAGAAATACCTTATTTACATAAGTATTCAGATCCTTTGCTATGAGACTCGAAATTGAGCTCAGGTGCACCCTGTTTCCATTGATCATCCTTGATATGCAGGAGTGGCTTCAGAGACTTGTCCCGAAGCCACTCCTGCATTGTCTTGGCTATGTGCTTAGGGTCGTTGTCCTGTTGGAAGGTGAACCTTCACCCCAGTCTGAGGTCCTGAGCGTTCTGGAGCAGGTTTTCATCAAAGATCTCTCAGTACTTTGCTCCGTTCACCTTTCCCTCGATCCTGACTAGTCTCCCAATCCCTGCCGCTGAAAAACATCCCCACAGCATGATGCTGTCACCACCATGCTTCACCATAGGGATGGTGCCAGGTTTCCTCCAGACGTGACGCTTGGCATTCAGGCCAAAGAGTTCAATCTTGGTTTCATCAGACCAGAAAATCTTGTTTCTCATGATCTGAAAGTCCTTTAGGTGCATTTTGGCAGACTCTAAGCGGGCTGTCATTTGCCTTTTACTGAGGAGTGGCTTCCGCCTGGCCACTCTATCATAAAGGCTTGATTGGTGGAGTGCTGCAGAGATGGTTGTCCTTCTGGAAGGTTCTCCCATCTCCACAGAGGAACTCTGGAGCTCTGTCAGAGTGACCATTGGGTTCTTGGTCACCTCCCTGACCGAGACCCTTCTCCCCTGATTGCTCAGTTTGGCCGGGCAGCCAGCTCTAGGAAGAGTCTTTGTGGTTCCAAACTTCTTCCATTTAAGAGTGATGGAGGCCACTGTGTTCTTGGGGACCTTCAATGCTGTAGACATTTTTTGGTACCCTTCCCCAGATCTGTGCCACGACACAATCCTGTCTCGGAGTTCTATGGACAATTCCTTCTACCTCATGGCTTGGTTTTTTGCTCTGACATGCACTGTCAACTGTGGGACCTTATATAGACAGGTGTGTGCCTTTCCAAATAATGTCCAATCAAGTGAATTTACCACCGGTGGACTCCAATCAAGTTGTAGAAACATCTCAAGGATGATCAATGGAAACAGGATGCACCTGAGCTCAATTTCTAGTCTCATAGTAAAGGGTCTAAATACTAATGTAAATAAGGTATTTCTAAAAACCTGTTTTTGCTTTGTCATTATGGGGTATTGTGTGTAGATGATGAGGATTTTTATATATTTAATCCATTTTAGAAGAAGGTTGTAACATAACAAAATGTGGAAAAAGGGAAGGGGTCTGAACACTTTCCGAATGCACTGTGTATATTTTATATTTATTGTATTAATATTTAACCTCATTCCATCCCACCTGTAGGCAGCGTGGCCAAGCGCTTCCAAAGCATCAACGCTGAGAACACTGAGGAGAACCGCCGTCTTTACCGCCAGCTCCTCTTCACGGCCGACCGCGTAGAGCCATGCATCGGTGGAGTCATCTTCTTCCATGAGACCCTGTACCAGAAGACAGACGACGGCAAGCTGTTCCCCCAGCTCATCAAGGAGAGGGACATGGTGGTGGGCATCAAGGTGGACAAAGGTGTCGTCCCCCTAGCCGGGACCAACGGAGAGACCACCACACAGGGTGAGAGATGACGCCAGGGCTAGGTGACCTTTGACCTCTAGTATTGAGCTCAACATTGCTACATATGCAGATTGTATTCAGGGGATGGTTTGAAGAGTGAAACTGGAACAAAGTGTCGAGTCATGTTTATTTCATAATGTTAAACATATCCATCCCCTCTCTCTCTGTGTCTGTCTGTCTGTCTCTCTCTCTGTATGTCTCTCTGTCTCTCTCCCTCAGGTCTGGATGGGCTGTACGAGCGGTGTGCCCAGTACAAAAAGGACGGAGCTGACTTTGCTAAGTGGCGTTGTGTGCTGAAGATCACTGACACCACCCCCTCAGAGCTGGCCATCATGGAGAACGCCAACGTCCTGGCCCGCTACGCCAGCATCTGCCAGATGGTGAGACACACACAAACACACACACACACACACACACACACACACACATAAAGAACAACAAACACGCATTGAACATATGTGAACATATTGGCACACATAAAATTAGTTGGCACACACTTGGCCTGGCCCCTACAGTTCACGCTTACATAACATCATTCCCCACTCTTCATCAATCTCCACAAAACAATATCTATTTATTATAAATGTTTCACATCTCTGCTTCGAAAAACCATATCACCACTATAATTACTTATCAAGGAGTTGTAGTTATTTTAGCCTGCTCTGTAGCTTTAGAGTTAACCACCAAGTGAATCAAATTAGCTCGAGTGCCAAGTTGCCAACTCCGGTGCCATTGAAATGCCGGGCACGGGCACCCTAACAAATAAAGTTGCATTGTCTGTTCTGTAGTCATGACGCTGGTTGTCATGCTCCTGTTCCCTTCCCTAGCACGGCATCGTGCCCATCGTGGAGCCCGAGATCCTGCCAGACGGAGACCATGACCTGAAGCGCTGCCAGTATGTCACTGAGAAGGTAAGGGATCGCTCCGACTAACAGAAAAACAGTGGCTACCTTCCAATGGCCATTCTAGCATGCCACTTAAAATGCATGTCTGCTTCATTCTAAGTAAGCTGCATTTACACAGGCAGTCCAATTCTGATCTTTCTCCCACATATTGGTCTTTTGACCAATCACATCAAATCTTTTCACATTAGATCATGTTCAGATCTGATCTGATTGGTCAAAAGACCAATTAGTGAAAAAAATATCAGAATTGGGCTGCCTGTGTAAACGCAACCTTAGTGTGCTAGTGTGGGTATTGGAATAGAGTGTGCTTAGTCTGTAGGATAGGGACACTCATTAGATCAATCAGTCATTCAATCCATTTCAATTTCAACATCTCTCTCTCTCTATCCCCTTGTCTCTCTCTGTCCCCTTGTCTCTCTCTCTCTCTCTCTCTGTCCCCTTGTCTCTCTCTCTCTGTCCCCTTGTCTCTCTCTCTCTTCTCTTCTCTTCCTCTCTCTTCTGTCCCTCTCTGTCTCTCTCTCTCTCTCTGTCCTTTCTCTTTCCTCTCCTCTCCTCTCCCTGTCCTTTCTCTCTCTCGTCCTTGTCTCTCTCTCTGTCCTCTTGTCTCTCTCTCTTCTGTCCCCTTGTCTCTCTCTCTCTCTGTCCCCTTGTCTCTCTCTCTCTCTGTCCCTTGTCTCTCTCTCTCTGTCCCTCTGTCTCTCTCTCTCTGTCCTTGTCTCTCTCTCTGTCCCCTTGTCTCTCTTTCTCTCTGCCCCCTTGTCTCGCTCTCTCGCTCGCTCCGCTCTGTCCTCCCTCTCCCTCCCCCCGGTCTGGTGCGTGTATAAGGCTCTGTCAGACCACCATGTGTACCTGGAGGGCACCCTGCTGAAGCCCAACATGGTCACCCCCGGACACTCCTGCTCCCAAAAGTACAGCAACCAGGAGATAGCCATGGCAACTGTCACCGCCCTGCGCCGCACCGTGCCCCCGGCCGTGCCTGGTGAGAAGGAGAGACATATACACTACCAGTCAACATTTTGGACACGCCTACTCATTCAAGGGTTTTTCTTTATTTGTACAATTTTTTACATTGTAGAATAATAGTGAAGACATCAAAACTATGAAATAACACATATGGAATCATGTAGTAACCAAAAAAGTGTTAAACAAATCAAAATATATTTTATATTTGAGATTCTTCAAATAGCCACCCTTTGCCTTGATGACAGCTTTGCACGCTTGGCATTCTCTCAACCAGCTTCGCCTGGAATGCTTTTCCAACAGTCTTGAAGGAGTTCCCACATATGCTGAGTGCTTGTTGGCTGCTTTTCCTTAAATCTGCCGTCCGACTCATCCCAAGCCATCCCAATTTCCACCGGTCTAATGTCCATTGCTCGTGTTTCTTGGCCCAAGCAGGTCTCTTCTTCTTATTGGTGTCCTTTAGTAGTGGTTTATTTGCAGCAATTCAACCATGAATGCTTGATTCACACAGTCCTCTCTGAACAGTTGATGTTGAGATGTGTCTGTTACTTGAACTCTGTGAAGCATTTATTTGGGCTGCAATTTCTGAGGCTGGTAACTCTAATGAACTTATCCTCTGCAGCAGAGGTAACTCTGGGTCTTCCATTCCTGTGGCGGTCCTCATGAGAGCTAGTTTCATCATAGCGCTTGATGGTTTTTGCGACTGCACTTGAAGAAACTTTCAACGTTTTTGAAATGTTCCATTTTGAATGACCTCCATGTCTTAAAGTAATGATGGACTGTCATTTCTCTTTACTTATTTGAGCTGTTCTTGCCATAATATGGACTTGGTCTTTTATCAAATAGGGCTATCTTCTGTATACCTTGTCACAACACAACTGATTGGCTCAAACGCATTAAGAAGGAAAGAAATTCCATAAATTAACTTTTAACAAGGCACACCTGTTAATTGAAATGTGTTCCAGGTGACTATCTCATGAAGCTGGTTGAGAGAATGCCAAGAGTGTGCAAAGCTGTCATCAAGGCAAAGGGTGGCTACTTTGAAGAATCTCATTTGTTTAACACTTTTTTGGTTACTACATTATTCCATATGTGTTATTTCATAGTTTTGATGTCTTCACTATTATTCTACAATGTAGAAAATAGTACAAATAAAGAAAAACCCTTTAATGAGTAGGTGTGTCCAAACTTTTGACTGGTGGTGTACATATATAAAAATGGAGACACACATGCACACACATACACACATGCATGCACGCATGTTTAGCACATGGAGATGTGTGAAACGTACCCCTCAGCCTTAAGTGTCCACGCTTGCGCCGCTCAAGACCTAGCTTTAGAGTGGCGCAACCCGTAGAGATGCTTGAGGGAGGACAGTCAGGTGTGTTTGTGAAGCAGAGGTCCCGGTTTCGAGCCAGGTATGTGCCGAATCGGAAGGAAGTGGTACACACTAAGCAAGCAGCATGACATCCTTTACACACGCACGCACGCACACACACTCACTCAACCCACTTTCCACACACACACATACATACAAACACACACACAACCCCCCTCCCCCCACACACATCCCCTCCCCCTCTCTTATCTTACCCTTCATCTTCCTGTCTCCCTCCCTCCGTCCTTCCACAGGCATCACCTTCCTGTCTGGCGGCCAGTCTGAGGAAGAGGCCTCCATCAACCTGAATGCCATGAACCAGTGTCCCCTTCACCGGCCCTGGGCCATCACCTTCTCCTACGGCCGCGCCCTGCAGGCCTCCGCCCTCAAGGCCTGGGGAGGCAAGCCAGAGAACGGCAAGGCCTGCCAGGAGGAGTTCATCAAGAGAGCCCTGGTATGACCCACACAGAGCGACGAACATGAGGGAGGGAGGGAGATACGAAGGGTGACATTGAGACCTGGGTTCAAATAGTAGTATTTGTTTTCTTTCAAATACTTTGATTGAGCGTTTCATTGAGCCTGCCTGCCTGGAGTGTGAGATGGGCGGGGTTTGCACTTTTCGGAATTATTCCATTTGTTCCATTGCACCAGGCAAGCAAAGTGTTCCTAGATTCACTTTTAACTACGATAACTCCCGTAAGATATTACTAATCTATCAAGTGACCCTAATGCAGCACAGCTGTCAATTCTCAGAGTCAGGTTAAGGCATTTATATAATAAGCCTGATGGTACTTTGTGAATAGTACAACAGTTCAACAGTAGCAGTGAATACAAACTGAAATACATGGGCATTACATCACAAGGTTCTTATAATTATTGTGACCCTCTGTGATAACAAACTACAGCAGGGCTATTCAACTAGCAGCCGGTTTATACATTTATAATGGCCCTTTGATCAATTATTTTAATGTTTTTTTTAAGCAGTGGGGCATTCCCACTCCTTGTGTATTTTTCTTTATTGGGGTTAGAGACAGTGGGAGAAACACAGGAAATTGGAGAGATGTTTGTGCCAGAAGGGCGTGGGCCAAGACAGTATATATGTGGCCCTAACAGCTAGACCACTTCAGGCCACCCCCTTTGATAAATTCGGAACATTAATTTAAAAAATCCCAAAAGATGTTTAGTGCCAAAATGAGCCCTCTGTCAGTATTCTCCAGTAGGTAAATCTGTTTTCCTGTAGTCCCGCTCATTAAGTGCTGTCAATTAATATCTCCTAACATACAGCCAATCGCAGCTACAAACATCTGGCGGCGCCACCGCAGGAACATCGCTTGTTTCATAGTCATCATGATCTGCTTATACATAATGATGTTAGGTGGCTAAGCATGTGTAATGCTCTAAAGCATGTGTAATGCTTTTTTCCGCGATTGCCGCAACAAGAAAGGCAACACAAATCTAGCAAAAATGCTTGATAGGGAGTTCGTAGCAAAGGTTTGTTTTTTGAGTGATCTGCAATCACTTGAATGGACTTAATTTGGTACTACAGGGGAGGGATAAAATAGTTATAGACATGATTGAAAAAATGTCTGCTTTTCAAAATAAATGTGTTATTTTCTCCTCTGATTTGAGGCCCAACAAAATGCTCAATTTCCCTACACTCAGGGCTCGAATTGAGCAGAATAACATCTGTTGGGAAGCAAGAGCGTGCAGCTCAAACAACTGGTTGTCCCATGGAGCAGTTTACAGACGAACGACAGCGGTAGAGTAGTTTAATTAAACTAGTTTTTCATCATTCATAAAAAGAATGCATCACTGATTCGTATTTCCTGCGACCTTCTGAAGTAACGCCTGTTTGTGTGCGCCCATGTGTTGTGTAGCCAGTTAGAATGCCGAAACAGTCATTTTTAAGGCTTTCCCCAAAAACCTTCCCAATTAAATGTTGACTCCAAAGTAGGCCTACATGACAGAATTATATCATGATGGTTTGTAGCCTATAAATCGGGTGGTCATTTGTTTTTGCAAACTCTGCCATCACATGTACACTACTGTAAATTGTATAGTAGGCTAGTTGACTAGCCCTGGAATACAGTCTCTAGGATAAGGTGAAAGGTCCTAAACAGTACTGCATACACCATATAAACCTAATAAAGTAAGGCCATGGGGTGGCCTACTGTTCCTATAATAATGAGATGGCAAGAGGAAGTGGAGCTAAGGCTCCATGTGTTCTTGTGTGGGGAGACAGAGGGTCTGTACTAATCGTAGTCTTTTATCTGTGTCTTCTGCTTTCTGTCTCACACCATCTCTTTCTCCATCTTACTTTCTTCTCTTTCCCCCATACCTGCTCTCTCCTCTCTTTCTTCTCTCTCTCTCTCACTCTTTCTCTCTCTCTCCTTCTCTATCTCTCTCGTTTACAGAACAACAGCAAGGCCTGTCAGGGCAAGTACGTTTCCTCTGGAGACAAGGGCGCCGCCGGCGGAGAATCCCTCTATGTGGCCAACCACGCCTATTAAGTACCCACCCCTTTCAATATCAAACCACACCCCCAATCCCCCACACTATCCACTCAGCTGATACAGTTCTGGCCCGACCCCGCCCCCTTCGTGGGTCTATTCCTGTTACTCGTTTCTTCCCAAAACTCTTTCCCTCTTCCACTTTTTTTTTTTTTTTTTGCTTTGGACTTGTGATGTCACTGTTATGTTATGTCTAATGCAGGAGCGTTGTGTGTTTCGTCACCTTTTATTAAATTTTAGCACTCAAACCCCTCCTCCCCCAAGAGAAGAATCTGTGATCCTCTGCCCCTAGTCACTCCCCCTTCGCTGCTGAGCTTGAGAGCTCCACCTCTTTGTCCCCACCCCCGCTCTGCTTACAAGCTCCTCCCCCAGACTATCCCTCGTGATTCAGTGTTGTCATCTTGATGATTCCTAAGTACATGTTCCTTCTTCTCTCGACTGAAACAACCATTGGAGGAAGACCTTGTAGAGTATATTCTTAATGTATGATATTCTATACACTGGAAATAGAAATAAAGAATCATATTCACTAAATGCACTTTTGTGATATCCTGTTTTGGGTTTGGGTAGACTGCCTGCTCTAAAGAGACTGCTAGGTGGGGGTGTAACTACCATTTATATGTGACAGCAGGGTCAGAAAATGCTTGGGGATTCACAACATGTCATGCTGTAGCCATTAAAACATGGACAAGGACGATACACATTCGTCTAAGGAATACGGGAATATTATAGATGCCAACCGACTGGCAATGAATGACACATTTGAACAGTCACAATATCAGCCTCACACTGACAACAGTTAAAACAAGACTCGCAAACAGGTTGATTCTTTCAGAGTTGACTGAATAATTATTGCAGTATGAATAGTCACAGTCAAGAATCAACGAGTAGTTAACTCACAATCAGTACCAATATGCGGCCTTTAAAAAGACATCAATGCATGATTTAAAGGGATAATTCACCTAAATTACAAAATTACATATTGGTTTCCTTACCCTGTAAGCAGTCTATGGACAAGGTATGACAGCAATCCATGCTTTGGTGTTGTTTACCTGGCCACTGTTTCCAAATTTGTGGGACAAATTAGTCAAGTCCCGATATCATTCATCAGTAACTTCTTTGAGCTACACAAGGTAGACAAAAACAAAGCAAGGCCTACTGTCATACCTTCTCTATAGACTGCGTACAGGGTAAGGAAACCATTGTCAATTTGTATTTGTGAATTTGGGTGAGCTATCCCTTTAAACAAAAGTCACAAGTCACAGAGATTTTGGTTCAGCTGAGATAAAGAAGAATATAAAAAGTGTGTCCTATTATAAACAGTCCGGATGACCTCAGCAGAAGCCTGTGTGTCTGAGGTTATGGTCTCCTGGATGAAGTCCATGTAGCGGGCCACACGGGTGTAGACTCCAGGGAAAACTTCTCTACCGCAGCCTTTCCCGAAACTCGTGATTCCCACCTGGACAAACTGACCAGCAGAGAGACACACCAACGGCACACCAGAGTCCCCCTGAAAATTGGACAAGATAAACCACAAGTGTGTTCCTTCAAGTGATGCAGTACCTGGCAGGTGTCCTTTCCACCCTCCCAGAACCTAGCACACGTGTCAGAGGTGAGAACAGGATACGCTTCCAGGCAAGCACACTGCTTAATGAGTTAATGAGGGGGCACTCTCAGCTGCTGCAGGATCTTATCGGCAGACAACGGTCCTGGAGAACATGAGAGGGTGATCGAGCGAGAGAGGGGGACCGAGAGGGTAAACATTGGGTTAAAAGATCAAGTAAGGGATCTAGAGAACAAAAGATTAAGAAGGAGAGAGAGTGGGAGGAGAACAAGAAAGGTAGGATGCAGAAAAGCCAACATCTACTGGTTATCCAGTAAGAATGGCCTTTTTCCCTTAATCCAGGTTACAACTTCTCACTTTCGGTTAATTGAAAGTGGAACCATTTTCAAAATATCGCCCTTTATAAAACATACAAAGCTGGTTGCAATTCCAGTTTCATCCCCCAGAAAAGACTGAACAAATATTACAACAAATATTATTATTAAACTCAAATATACTAATTGATTAAAAAAACAAAAACATTCTTTATGGATTTATTTTTATTTTAGGGAATTTATTTGTTAATGATATTAGGAATGGTGGAGTTATGTCACACGTGCAGTTAACAAAAATATATGGACATGTTTGCGCTATCCAGATTTACAACCAACCGATTGCAGCATTACTGCAAAAATGGAAGGAGGCAAGTGGAAGGGGGAGAAGATAGGGAACTTGTTTGTCACTTCTGGCTGCATGGCAAATGGCCCAAGACAATGCCCAACACAGGCGGTTGGTGGCACCTTAATTGGGGAGGATGGGCTCGTGGTAATGGCTGGAGCGGAATCAGGGGAATGGTATCAAATACATTGAACACATGGTTTCCATGTGTTTGATACCATTCCATTTGCTCTGTTCCAGCCATTATGACAGCAGCCTCCTGTGATGCCCAAGGACCAGTCAGCCATTCCCCGGTAAAAGGGTAAAAATGTATCTCTCTCTACAGTATCCAGAGGACTGACTATTGAATGTGTGATAGAATAATGCTATGGTATCCATTGTATTTATCTTTTCAATAAACATTTGGCGATGAAATATGGTTGACATTTTGTCAACTCCATCTGTTTTGCTACATAGTTGCACATGCATCGGTTTTGTTGCTAGACAACCTACCCGTCTATACCAGACCCTAATTGTGACCGTGAGGACACAAAACAATTACCAATAATATACACTAGATGGAGCCAAAGTTCAATATATTGTCCACAATTGTCCGTTATGATGCAAAAATGATGCAAAAAATATTTTAATTGTCCAAGGAACGTCAGGGGGGATGCTGGCTTATTCTGAGGCCCTCAGCAGTTAGCTGCTATTTAGGAGTCCAATTAATGTTCAACATAGCGCAGA